ATTAGAGAGACAAAAAGGTCAACGTTTCACTGTTCAACTTCTTGTATATTTTCCAAAAATGGTGACAAACAAAAGAAAATACAACACTGTAAGAAGCTTTTAAAAGCGAAAAGATGTAATTTGTAATAGAATTAAATCCGGTCGATCTTAGCTGATCTTGCTTGAATTAAACCAAGTACAGTGTGCAGAACACATAGTTAACATAACATCTACATGTCCGATTATCTTATAATGGAAATTTTCCTATATAATTAAAATCTTAATTGAAAACTGCGCGAAAAACTATAAACAAACCTGTAGTAAACAGAAAATCACCAAACGTCTCATCTGCGAACGAATGTCACAAAATACATACAGCTCCCGGGCGAGAAAAACTAAACACACGAGATCGAGGCAAAATGTGCTGGGCCGGTCCAAGATGGCGTCCAAACCGTTGCATAGCATACGGAACGGTAACTAGTACATGTACGGTACACGAATAGTAAGCGTTCTCCTTCGTCGAACACAACAATTCTTGAACAGTGACGGATATAAGAAATGGCACTCAGTATGTTCCTGGAACATGTTGAACGCAATTTGTGTGACCTTTCCTATCATTTTAGCGCTGAAACCATAGATCACATGTACAGAGCAACACAGCAGATTGTTGAACTGGTCGTGGATGATATAGGGAGAATAAAACCTCACCTGGATGTTAAGGATGTAATACGCATTGGGAGTTTTGCAGAGGGAACTAAGATTTGTTCTCCTAATGAGTTCGACTTCCTGGCGTGTTTTGATTTCCTCTCTAGGAGTGAAAATGTGCGAATTGAGGGCACTGAAGGTTGCCAACCAGGTTACATGGTGGCTTTTCTCAACTCTGGCTTTGATGAGGCCATGGCGAACATAACTAGGCGACTCTACAAGGATATTTGCTGCATACACCAAGAAGGATTGCGTGTAGAGTTTATGGATACTCTGAAAGAGGTTGTTAAAGCCATGTCAAAAAAGAAGATTGTGACTCCTCACGGTGTCATGGTCATTAAAGGTTCAGACTATTTAGCTTTGAAATTAGAGTGGCACAAGTTTAAGGAGAACTATGAAGGTCCTGAAATATATAGTGGACTTTGTGAAAGAGACTTGACATTAACAACTTCCTACTCACTAGATATTAGTGTTGATATTATGCCAGCAGTGTCTGTTGAAGACTTTTCTCCTCTAAGTGATATCCATGGTTTTCCTAGGTATGTATTTGGAATGACAGGAAACCTAAAGTTTCATCTTGTGTGCAAAGTGTCAGGGCAGTCCCCCAATGCACCTTATCTCCACATTTCCCATGCTACCACTGAGGTTTTTCTGGTGCGCCATCTACATCCAATCCATAAAAAATGCTACAGGGTACTGAAGTATCTTCTAACTCACAACACATATTTTAACAGGCCAATAAAAGACATTAGCCTGTCTTCATATGTGTTTAAAACTGCTGTCCTTTTCCATGAACATGAGAAGCTGTGCTCAGGTACTCCAGATACTGTAACCTGCTGCATTGAAATTATACAGTATGTCAGAGTCAAATTAAGGCAGGGTGTGTTTCCACCATTCCTGATGAGGACAACAAATGTTTGGGGGCAGTGTTATAAAATTCCTGTATCGCATGCGTGGAGGCCATCAGGTCTAAACAGAGAAATCTGCTCATTTGACTGGTGTTTTGTTTTGTGGTTTCAGCTTTGGAGGCAATTTCTTGGCAAGGCACTGACAATATTTCGAAAAATAAAACTAAAATTGCAAACAGAAGAACCAGAAACCAGTGATAGCAGCACTTTATTGAATGATGCTTCACTGACTTCACTAAACAACATGTCTCAGACACGTAATTTAGTGGATTATATTCCAAATAAGTATGATTCATTTCTTGATGAGTTTGCAGTTTTAAGAGAGGATGCATTTGTCATTACAACTAAGTACTCTGGAGATGCAAAAGATACACAGACAATTAGTTTGGTTAGCAGATGTCCGTCAGAAAAAGTCTGGGAATTAGTTCTACCTAAATTTCCAGAATATCTCAGTCGAATTGAAAGTGTGTGCAGCAGGGAAATAAGTATCCCAAAGGAAGAGTTTGAGGAAGTGGTAGAAGTGGGCTGATATTTTCTTGAAAATCTACCCTGCCTTTTCTCATCAATCAATGGCAAGGGAATATTTACATGATTAATGTCACAGCTCCTGTGTTAATGTAAATTTATTATGCAATTCCTTCCTTAGAATTACCAACATCAGTTGATTTTACAGCAATGGCATAAAAAGGTAGCTAATCATTGCTCAACAAGTTTAACTCATTTTCTCTTCGTAAAGGTCACTATAGTGACATTTTACCCGTTCAAGAGCACCCTTGATTCTAGCTTTTAGCACTCCCACCTCTTCAAAAATTGATTCATGGGATAAAATGCAACTTTTTGCCAAGTGTAAACATAACCTCGTACCTGGTTTAGAGATAACTTAGTATTGGCTTTGAACCCTCTCCTGCAGGGCATTTTTAACTTTGTTGATTACAATGATTTGCTAAAATATAAAAGAGGCCTTCAAACTAGTTTTTAAGAGTAAACTTCCAGAGGATGTCAAGCTGGCCAATGATGTTAATGTTTTTTAAGTCTAAGCTAAGATCAATTCAGCTAGAATTTTTATATTTTTTAAGTTTTTTTTTCTGGTGTGTAATTTTTTTAACATTTTATGTTCATATGTACATAGATTATAGATTATGTATTTAAATTTCTTTTTTTCTTTTAATACTGGATTTAATTGTAATTGTAGATTTAATGCATGTTCATATTTTGAACAAGTACTTGTGCTCTTGGACAATAACATGAATAAATAAATTATTGTATTGTATTGAATTTTAACAGTTGGATTGCAAAATTAGGATACATGAACTATATTGTTGCTGTGGTAACCTTTGGGTTTTCACATGATGCTGTAGGTCATTTACCAACAATTGGGCATTTATGTCATTATCATAGCACCAGCTGAGAGAGAGTGGTATTATTGATTCACCAAAGCAGAGGTACTGAAAAATGGGAAAAATTATATCTTTTCAAATTCCCTATGATATACTTCTTTGCACCCAAATTTTGCATAAACTTTTGTTCTCAAATAATCCAGGGAGGCCTGCATATTCCAAGAGCATTTGAAAACTATAACTTATGCAAAATTTGGGAAGCGGGGAGGGAAAATAGACTGTATTATGGGGAATTAGAAAAAAGCCAATTAAATATATGGGGTCGAGTGGCAGTTACAGTTGTTGTGTGACTTCTTATGACCCTGCTCATGACTAATGGTTTTCTTTCCATTGCAGTTAACACCGGTTAATGGACACCTTTGAAAAAGACATTTGACTTTCAAAAGTTCAAAATTGATTTCCATTTTTGCAAAACACATCTTTAATGGTTCGTAAATCTCTTAGGATCTTTCCGGATGAGAAGAATAGGTTGACATCAGCTCCATCAGCCATTAGAGTCAGACAAAATGAATACCTTCCAAAAAAGCGTTCTCGACAGTTTATTGCAAAAATAGAATAAACTTTGGCTGGGATAGTTTTAAGGTTATTTTCTTTTTGAGTAATGGTTAAAATGTTCCCTTGTTTGCACCTATCGACCTAACTTTTTGGCCGTTAGTCCTGGAGGGGTACTCCAACATATAAGCCATACAGGTATGTGCCAAAGCAAGTGTACTACAATCCTCAAGCACAGTCACAAGTGAGCGGCAGTACTAACCAAGGCTTAGTAATAACTGTGGCGCAAGACGTCAAGGTGGAGTCTACAATCCGAGAGAGTAAATCGGAGAACTTTGGAGTTAACTTGGGATTAGGAGACGCCCCTTTGATAGGACTGAATTATCAAAAGGCTAAAATCAGGGAAACCAGGCAGGAAAGCCATCATCAAATGAGTATAGCAATTAAAATCCCAAGAGAATGTGGCGAGGGCTGCAGGGAACAGGTAAACAAAGCTTTCGATATCGGAAACAATGCGCTTTATGGTGGATCAAAACAGAAGCAAGTCAACTGACCACAGCCAGAGGCATGTATCTGAGATCCAGGGACCATGTTTAATAATAAAGACTAAGAAAAGAAAGTAGTTTTTGCATTAGACTAAGCATTAGACCGTGAGCAAACACTGGGCATGCACACGCGCAAGAAACTCACAGAACATTTGCGCCTCGGGTTTGAATCTAGTTTGCTTGCGATTCTCGGAGAACTTGCTCACAGGGAAATAGTTTGCATAATTTAGCAGTGTATTTGCTTCTACTGAGTAATGTTTCTACTCGATTTTAAACTACTGGACAATTATATATTATATCATTATGATAAACTGATTTAACTAGCATAACAAAGTAAACGTGGCGAGTGTTCTCAAGTAGCCTAGACGGTAGGGGAGAAATCGAGCACGCAAGAACGCGCTAGGCACATGAGAGACACCCTTTCTCCTTCCTCTCTCGGGTGCCCAATTTCTTCCTTTCCCTTCAAACGCCTGCTAGCAGCCATCCAGGCTATTTTTTACAGTGGCAAAGATGTATTAAATGTGAACATCTAGAAAGATTTCTTGCGTTGCATAATTCTTTTTTTTCTGTTTGTCAACAAATAAACAGTCAGTAAGTATAGTCGATGAAGGCAGTTCCTTAGCTTATTTTAGAGGTCCAGTTTCAGTCAGTATACTGACCCTCGTACTTGCAAAGACTGTAGTTTTTCCTTTCCGCTGGCTTCCAAGACCTTGATAGGGACAGGTCTATTAATATTTTTTATATGGCAAATTGAATATTCAGTCGAACCGGGGTTCCAGTTTTTATATATCTATTTGTCTTACTTTTTACGTATGTAATCTTGCTTTTAAGTCCGGGCTGAGAAACCGAGGATAAATAAAGTTATTGGGCTGTTGATATTGATGTAATTATTTATTGTTGTTGTTGTTGTTGTTCAGTCCTCCCGTTTTATCCGCGGGGAGAAACGGCCTGGGTAACACTGCATGGTAACCGCTTGTTCAGCCCCTTGGTACTTTTACTGCTTTCTTCTTCACTCCTCTTCTAAAGTGGAAATATCTTTGATAAACAAAACAGAGAAAAAAAGGTTAGTTCTTCGCAGGATTATAATATTCTTAAGTTGATCATTCAGGGTAGGTGAGCACTCGCAATTTGACACGCCAAATGAACCGGATCATTTGTGCTGTAATGTGATCTTTTGTGCGTGAGTGGTTTCAAGAAACATCGATTGTGTGACTTCTTTCTGCGTCTTTGTTTCTAGGTCATCACCCTTAGAGTGAAATCGACGTTCTAGAATCCTTTTTCAGGCTAGTAATATCGCTGGTTTTTTTCCAAGTTTTCCAAGTCACGCAGTTAAAGGTAATTTCCCATTTGCTGTAATAATTGCTGGTTATAAAAGCCGAACAGTTCATTTGTAGTGATTTGAAGCAGTGATTTGGTCAATAAGTAAAAAGTTGATATAGTTTGGAATATATTTAATAGCAAAAGTAAATAAAACCACTTTAAATGCAACCAATCCTTCAAGTCAAGTGGCTCTGTATACTTTGCAATAATTAAATTTTCCTAACCTAGTGCTGTATGTGAGTATTGATGGGTTAGTGGAGTTCTATTGTTTATTTCTTGTTCTTTCATATAGATTACATAAAGGGAAAGCTTTGAGGAGAGCTGCTAGGTAAGAGGACACTTAAGTGTGAAGAACAGTTAACAAAAGAAATGGAGGGTAATAAGTCAAGGGAGTGGCTTGAGAAGTATTACTCACCTAGCCGGTGGAATAAGCGCATGGGAGCAGACAAAGTAGTTCAGCATTATTTGAAAGTTTGCGGTGAATGCAGTGAAGAAACAAAACAAAGTTTGAATGTTGAACTGAATGTGCCTTATGGGGAAGGTAAAGCCAAGATGGATGTATTTTATCCCCCACTGAATGACCATGATAGTGCTCCAGTCATTGTGTTTATTCATGGTGGTTACTGGCAGCAAGGCAGTAAAGATTTGTACAGTTTTGTCAGTAATTCATGGACAAAAGCTGGATGTATTGCAGTAGTTTTGGGTTATAATCTTGCACCAGAGGCCAGTGTGGAACAGATCATCACTGAAATCCAAGCTGCACTAGAGCACATTGTTGTTAAGTTTCCTAAATCAAAACTGTTTTTATGTGGACATTCTGCTGGTGCACACTTATCTGCCATGATGGCACTTGCAAATTGGAACAAGGGTGGGTTAGTTTCACAAGCTGTTCATGGCATGTTTTTACTCTCTGGGATTTTTGACTTGGTTCCCTTGGTTAACACTAGCAATAATGATGCATTAAAATTGGATGCAGATTCCGCTGCAAAAATTAGCCCCCTGACAATTCTTAAGGAAGTATCTCCCACAATCTGCTGTCCTACACTGGTTGTAGTTGAAGAGCATGGATCTCCAGAGTTCATTCGGCAGTCAAAAGAATTTGATGAGATCTTGAAGTCACATGGTGTACAAAGTTCCTTTTTATGGCTTTCTGGAGTAGATCATTTTAATTTAATTGAAAACATGGCTGATCCTGAAGATCAACTTTGCAAAGAAATTTTAAAAGTTGTCCTTAAACAATCTTAATATCTTTTGACAATGTTATTTCCAAGTTTTATTTTAAAATGCTCTTCCACTAGGCAGTGGGCTGTTTAAATAACAATTTTTTTTTCAGAGGAAACTGCACTAAGGCTGAAAATTTATTTATACACTGAAAGAAACTAGTCAGAGTGATTTTACTTAACCCTTGGAATAGGTAGTAGAATACTAGGTGCACTATTATGCACTAATTACTTTGTCTTCCTTTGTTTGCAAGTGTTTCACTCTATGCTGTAATCAATTATGCACAAAAATTAACCTACAATGTAAGTACTATCTCAACTCCCTTTAGTTAGTCCCCACAAAGTTAAAGCAGACTTGAAAGAGTTGTGATGAAATGGTAAATGTTTTTTATAGATGTCAAGTAAAGAGACAATAGTAACAATACTAAAAGATTGTTAGGCAGTAGTGAAAATTTGAAACACAAGAAAAAGAGTTTCTGACTTTTTCCACTAAATTTGATGTGTTTGAATTACAGATGAAGGACTTCTTACCTTTCTCTTATTAATTGACCTACCCTACGAGGCAGGTATTTGAGAGGAATGGAGAGGGAAAGATAGGGCGAGAATGTGATGGGCATGCATGTGCCAGTACTCATGTTCCTTGCTTAACCCCATCCCATTCCTTCCTCTTTAAACTCCTGTCTTGCAGTTTATCATCAGTGACCCACATATTATTTCTCCTTATTAAATCAGTGCTCAAGTTCATGAAATAAAACAAGCTAAAAGGGTGTCATTAAAAGAATCTGCTACCTCACCTCCCCAAAGCAGGTACCCTCATTGCAAGGCATGGTCATTAAACTGTGCGATTTACTAATTATAATTATTACAATAGAGAGAAGTCGTTACGTCACTTTTCCATGGTAGCAAAATTTCTGGATGACAACATACCGAAAATTCACTCAAAAAGAGAATTTGCAAATGAAATAATCATGTTGCATTTCTGCAACAACAGCTAAGGGGTGATGCATATGCAAAGTTGTTGGTTTTCTAATATAAACTTATTGCTTTTAAACTGTTCTCGTTGCCGTCGCCATCGTCGTTGCTTAAAATCGCTATTGTTGTGATTCAGAAATTTTTTTAACATGGTAATATGATGTCACACTTCTCCTCTCTAGTCATTTTTGTGCAAATTTAAAGACATTTTCGGAATGGATTTTATTACTGATTTATTTCAATATCCACTTAAGGGAGGTTATTTTAGCTTTTGGTTTGAAAGACATACCTTCTTTCAGTATTTAGTTTTTGTTCCATTTTTATATTCCCATTTCCCTCTTTTCTGACTTTTTTTGATCGCATTCCCTTGGGCTCGTGCACCATCATCATATCTTTTATGGAGATACTCCTCTCAAAAGAGTTCCATTTTTCAGGCAAGAGTTATATAACAGAGGTTTCACCATTTATGTAAAGGAGGCCTAGGCGATTTTTCTTGGGGAGGAGTGGGGGCATGAGTTTATCCGGTCAGTTTTAAGGGGGGCTATCAAAAATATTTATTTCTGTCAATGTGACTGTAGGTTTAAGAGGAGCCATCACAAAAGTTTCAATAAAAACCGTCACTGTGTTTTACACCTTTTGGTGTTCAATACCACCAAATAGAATTTAATCTCAACTAAAAGTTGGTTGAATAGTTGTTTTTCTGGTTGAAGCAGAAAGGTCTAGGAAATCTTTGGATCAATATATTCGTATTCCCCGACGATCCTGGAATGAGTAGTCCTTGAGCGTCAACGTTGTTAAGTTTCTAAGGGCTTGCACCCTTAAGAGATCATTATTTCAAACCACAAAAGGAAGAACTCCTCGTTATTACTGAGAAAAAAGCGAGCCTAACCAGATATTGAAGGAAAGAGTTTATAATTTGATAAAAATCACTGCGAAATGGTCTCAAAATCCCCGAAGCCATTTTAATATCATTAATTTTCAATGTCCTTAAAAAATTTTTGAAGGATACCTAATTGACGTACTTATCTAAAGCCTGTGATCTAAGTTAACACATATCCTTTGCAGTTGACGTTTTCTAACGGAGTGGATACAAAATCTTGTGTACCTTACTTGTACTAAAATTCGCGTCGTGCTCATTTTCGCTCAGCTTTAAATTCGCGCGATTTAATTTTGCGCATCTTGTTAAGACTTATTCGCGCAGCTTTAAATTCGCGCTAGTAATTTTCGTGTTCGTTCTTTTTGGTTTGTTTAGGAGCTATTAACGATTAACGCATTTATAATGAATATTTTTTATCAGCGATTACTACAATATTTGTCGAAACCTAATAAAAAAGCGATTAGGTGGCCCTCAAAAAGTGCCTTCAAAATTATGAAATTAATGCAAAATTCATGATAACAATAAGCGTGAGTTCAAAATACCAACAAGAACTAAAAAATTTACGTATGTATATGTATGTGCATTTATAATATTACACCACAAAGTTTTTCGCGCAGATTATAATTCGCGCAATACCAAAATTGGCGAACCCAGCGCTACGCGAATTCTAGTACTGCACGAATTTTAATACTTTTTTTAAGTGAGGTATTTGAAATATTTACCCGAACAAGTATATTCGGTGGATAATTATCTAGCAGGCCGCGGCTTGGCGTTCTGCACACAGTCAATGTTTTTTAAGGAATGTATATCGGTTTAAACAGAGATGACTTCAAAAGAGAATAATTAGTGATCATTTATTGATCATTTTACAATGTTTCAGCCAAAATTTTAGTAATAGATCATGCCTAGCCAAGGGATTCAAATTTAATCTTCTATTAAAGCAAAATACGTCGTTTCATGGTTACGACGAAAATTTAACATGAGGTAAATATATGAAAGCAATAACCAACAAACTAAATTTCGCCTGCCATTGGATCAATTAAACGCATTAGCCGCATCATCCTCGCTCCTTGTCTACATCGTAGTTGAAAGTAGACCCATACCACTCTCTGCCAGTGGAGTTTTTAACTGATGGTGACATTCTAATTCTTAACGATTCATCAACGTTGAAATCTGTGATAAACGAAATGCCAATGTCGATCCATTTGTTTTCGGTATTTTCGAATCTTTTCAAAATTCGATCTGACTTAACAGACCCATCAAGTAAAGTTGAAGCGCTTGATTTATCTGTTTTCAGACCGTCATTATAGGGGATTATATAAGTTTCATCATGCTATGTTTAACGGTTTAAACTTCATGAAATGAATCCCATCCAAAATCGCCATCATTAGACACAATGTTAAAAAGCTTCATAGCAAACTTGTTAGGTTTCATTTTATTAATCGAATAATATAAGCTTATCGGAATTAATTCATTATTTAGATAAATAGTGAAATCAGGTTCTTGGTGTTTTTTTGTAACCGTCGGGTATTATCATTTACAGCGTCTCGTATGATTAATTCTCTGCTCCTACAGACCTTTTCCTGAAACTTGATAGTTCCAGTATCAACTGTTGCAAAACCAGGAAGAACTCTAGCGCCGACATTGGACGATAATCTTGGAGCTAGATAAGACTGCTAAACAGTGAGCCACGTCTTACACAACATGACGTAAATACTCTGTGCGACTTGCTTATCTTGATATCCACACCAACACCAGTTGACACTGCTCTCGGTATCTTTTTGATATGCGTTTCCGTGCGCATTATTTCATCGTTGCCACGTATCTCGTTGTTTGATAGGCGTAGAGTAATAAGATATCTCTGTTGAAGCGTCTTGATAATTTCTCTTTTGACTGTCATTCAAGGTGACCCCATACAAATGATAAGTCGTCATATATAAATAGCGAATAATAGCGGAGCTCGCAGCGCGCGCAGCGTAGCTCCATTTTTGTACGAATAGTAGTAACCTATCAAGCCGAAAAAATTTGGACTTGCGACCGTACAGGCGTCTGTACGAGGTGCTACTTTTAGTACGCATGGCCAACTGTACTGCAGGTGCTATCTTAGCCATTAGGTAATGGAAGGGTGAGGGAGAAGGTAATGCGCAAGCGCAATTACGTGCGTAACTTGGATATCCCATTAGTGTGCGCCGGGAGACACAGGGAGATAACAATGAAGAGCGCACACTCGAGCGACCTTTAGTTCTGCGTATCACGGGCATACGGTTAGACATTACACAAGAGTTTCACGTGGGCTAGTAGATGTGAAGCCGCGTAAGCAAATAATTTGCAACCCACGTTTTGAGCGCGAAATCCAACTGGTGAGGATGTAGTAGAACAGTAATCCTCGGTATTTTGTAATTACTAAACAACTCTTAAGGCAACAATACCGGCAGAGTTAAAGCTTTGTCAACCGAAGGAAAATGTTATAATTCAAGTTCGCGGAGAGAGGGTTTTGAAAATAGGCTGAATAGAAAGAGACAGAGCGACCAAAGAAAGCAACAATTAAACGGCGTAAGGCGAGGCGAGAAAATCGAACAAGAAAGTTAGAAAGGACGCCAAAATAGGCAGAATACGGCGAGAGGAACGCGAAAGAGAACAAGGAAAGGCATAAGTAGAAAGGCGAATATTTAGCGAAGAGCAAAGCGAGAAGGAAATACAAAGTCTCTCCTGAAAACAGACTGAAAAGAGAAGCGAACTACAAAGGATCCGAGAAAGAAGAGGAGGTAAGTCGTGTCTTATCTGGGTTTTCTCGTACGCTAAGGCCCAGAAAAATTCAAACCTTTTTCTTAACAATCGTCGTTTGATACTAGCTTCCGTTTTTAATTCAAATGATCACGTTTCGGTTAAACATTGACTTTGACAATTAAAAACCCTCGGGCCGGTTCATCGCTCGAATAACATTTTATAGTGTTCGTATTCTTCAAGTTCTTTCTTGTCCTATCGTTCGAAATGTTTAATACAGTCGTGGTGTTGAGAGAGAAAGTTATGTTACGGATTTTGTTTTGCCTAGAAAGTTTTCAAATGATAGCGAACGGCGAGCGCAAGTTTCAACTTTTTTCTCTCTTCAGTTAACTATCGCAGGATTTACTTTATTCATTTGAAAAAGATCGCGCTTTGTCGAAGATGTGTTGTTTTACCCTAAGAATGAACAAATAGCCTTTCCCAAAACTGAAATAAAATGAGATTGAGTCAGCAATGTTCATGTTTACATTGTCGGACGTTGGTAATTTGATTTTGACGATATTGTCATGTGAGAACCCGTCAAACATCAGAGAATCAAATTATGGACCACGAATGTGTAGTGCAAACAAATTAAACTTACGGGTTAAATAAAGGTAGTGTTACAGCGGATGAAAGAA